TGTAAATCAGGGATATCCTTCATCCCAAATCAGAGCCTTTTGGACTGCCCTTGTCTTTGGATACTTTTTCCCCCTCTGGCACCATCCTTAGTGGGAGGAACGTCCTTGGCAGACCTGAATCCATGTTTCAGTGTGCTGTCATTTGATCCCTGCTGGAATACAGAGCATGGATCAAGCCAAGCTATGAGAGGCAGAGGACGTTTGTCCTCTGTCAAGGTTGTCCTCTGGTCAAGGAGCATCCAGAACCCATTGCCTGGATTTATTCCCCTTGCAGGCCTTGGATGGCTTCTTCTTTGTCGTCAACCGGGAAGGGAGGATCGTCTTCGTCTCCGAGAACGTGACCGGATACTTGGGATATAACCAGGAGGAGCTGATGAACACCAGTGTCTACAGCATCCTGCACGTGGGGGACCATGCTGAGTTCGTCAAGAACCTGTTGCCAAAATCTTTAGGTGAGGAAATGATGATGGAATGGGTTGGAAGGACCTTAAAGCTTATCCCATCCCACTCCTGCCATGGGCAGGGACACCTCCCACCAGCCCAGGTTGCTCCAAGCCCCATCCAACCTGGCCTGGAACACTCCCAGGGATGGAGCAGCCACAGCTGCTTTGGGCAACCTGTGCCAGTGCCTCAGCACCCTCACAGCCAATAATTCCTTCCCAATATCCCTTCTCTCCCTGCCCTCTGGCAGTGGGAAGCCATTCCCTGTGTCCTGTCTCTCCAGGCCTTTATCCCAAGTCCCTCTGCAGCTCTCTTGGAGCCCCTTGAGGCACTGGAAGGGGCTCTGAGGTCTCCCTGGAGCTCAGTGTTTTGCTTGAATCCCTTGGAGCTCATCCCACAGGGATTGTCTGCTGAGAAACCCATCCTGGAGCCATCCCAGCTCCAACTCCATGGAATCATAGGATCCCAGGCTAGTTTGGATTGGAAGGACCTCAAAACTGATCCCATTCTACCTCCTGCCATGGGAAGGGACACCTCCCACCAGCCCAGGTTGCTCCAAGCCCCGTCCAACTCGGCCTGGAACACTTCCAGGGATGGAGCAGCCACAGCTTCTCCAGTTTTCCACATCTATGGACCTCTTTGTGCTGAGGGGCTTCTCTTGCTGTGCCCCTGATGGTCTCTATCCTGGGGAGAGGAACAGCTGTGAGGGTGGGAGGAAGCATCGCGTGGGGAGGTTGCTTGGGGGGTGTTGGAATGAAGGTTTGATTGGATGACTGGAACATCTCTCCAGGTGGTTGATGTGGGTGAGACATCTCTGATCCCTCATCCTCTCACACCTTTGGAGAAAGACAAAAGGAAGTTGAACCTTTTCCAAGCAGTTGGACTTAAAAATAGGCTCTTTCAAACACAGATCACACTTGTCTTCTCTTTGGATAAACACCTGATGTCTCCAACCGTCCAAATCCACAGCACTCCTCAGCTTCAGCCTGCGGAGGCTCGAGAATCATCTTTTTCCTGTGGTTTCTTAATTCAAGGATAGAGATTTTGGCTTTCCTTGGATGCAGATGGACCTGATGACCTTAGAGGCCTTCTTCGGCCTTAATGATTACACGATTCCGTGTTGCAACCCCTCAGCTCTCCTTGTGGAATCACAGAATCCTCAAGGCTGGAAGAGACCTGTAAGATCATCAAATCCAACTGTTAAGCTGTAGATCAGGTTGTAGGGAAGCTTCATCATCTGGTGGCAAAATCCCTTGAGTTACACATGGATATCCAGGAAGATGTTGTAGAGGGTTAGGAAAAGCAGCCAACTGGTTCCTAAAACCAGAGGTTTTTGGGAAAAATCAATTTATAGGGAAAATCTAAGGGGAAGGTTTGTGCTGCTACAGTGTCAGGAGATTATGCTGCTGGCTTAGCCCAGAAATGAGCAGGAAGCAAAGGAAAAACTCATTTCTGTGAAGATGCTCCACTGGACTTGCTAGAGAAGTGCCAGGAGTGTTGCTCCACAGGGATCAAAGGGTTTCTTGGGAAGCCTGGGTGGATGTGTGCAGAGCACAGCTCCTAACATCCCTCCTCTTCCTCCTGTCTCCCCAGTGAATGGAGTTCCTTGGCCTCAGGAAGCGAGCAGGAGGAACAGCCACACATTCTCCTGCAGGATGCTGATCCGGCCACCCGACGAGCCGGGCACGGAGAACCAGGAGGCTCGGCAGCGCTACGAGGTCATGCAGTGCTTCACCGTCTCCCAGCCCAAGTCCTTCAAGGAGGAAGGAGAAGGTAGGGGAGAGCAACCTCATCCTCTGCTTCTGAGCCCCTGCTTGGGATGGGGATGGCAGGGCAGGCAGGAGGAGGAGTGGGATGGAATGACAGTGCAGGCAGGAGGAGGACTGGATGGGTATGGCAGTGCAGGCAGCAGGAGGAGTGGGTTGGGGACATCAGTGCAGGTAGGAGGAATGGGATGGAGATGGCAGTGCAGGCAGGAGGACTGGGATGAGGACTGGGATGGGGATGGCAGTGCAGGCAGGAGGACTTGGATGAGGGCTGGAATGGGGATGGCACTGCAGGCAGGAGAAGGACTGGGATGGGAACCTAATGCCTTCCCCACTGCCGGACCACAGCGCTGCCCACAGGATTTTGGGCTGAATCCTGAGGGATTCAGGACAGGGAGGGATCCCTCAGAGCTGTGGGGGCTGTTCCTTTCCTGCAAGCGCCCTAACTCTCCTCTCAGGGTCCCAGCCGTTCTTTTCCAGCGCATTCGCTGGACAAATCCATTGTGGTTTGCACAGGAGATCACGACAGGAAGGAATGAATTATGGTGTTTTATGACCAAAGACTGCCTGGAGCCAATGGTCAGTGGCTTTTAGTGCTGACTTTTATTGCCAGATGCAAAAAGCCTTGACAATTAATTTCTCCAAGCATTGGAAACCTCTTTGCCAGCCAATTTCAGGGAGTTTAGACAGAGCCTGTTAGCTTTGAAAGGCTGGAGGATTCCTCAGGATAAACACTTCCAGGGCAGGATGTGGCAATCAAGCCCAGCAGTGATGATTCTAATTAAAATCTTCCATTCCAAGTGGTGGCTGTGACTGATTTGCATGTTCCTGGTCCCTTTCCCTTCTCCCACTCTGGCAGATTTCCAGTCGTGTCTGATCTGCATCGCCAGACGACTACCTCGGCCGGCAGCCGTCGCCCCCTCTGAATCCTTCGTGACCAAGCAGGACACCACAGGTAACATCCTGCACTTGTTCCAGAGGAGGTAGTTTTCCTGGTGGGAGGAGGCCAGGGATATGCAGTGCAGGACCCCAAAACGTGGTCCTGTACTTCTCAAATGGCAGAGCTTGGTCTGATGTGGTTGACACCTCAGCTGGACGCACCTCACCTGCTCCAACACTCCTGCTCGCAGCTCCTCTCCACTCTCTTGGGTTTTGGTAGTTGTTGAGGTTGCTTATGGATGGGAATGAAGAATCATGGAATCCCAGAGCAGTTTGGGTGGGAAAGGATCTAAAAGCTCATCTATTCCCACCTGCTGCCATGGGCAGGACACCTCCCACTACCCCACGTTGCTCCAAGCCCCATCCAACCTGTCCTTGTGCACTTTCAGCAATGGGGGGATATCCACAACCTCTCAAATTTTCCACATTTATGGACCTGTTTGTGCCAAGGGACTTCTCCTGCTGTGTGTGAGTAACGTGGCTTCTCTCTCCTGCCAGGTAAAATCATCTCCATCGACACCAGCTCCCTGCGAGCCGCTGGCAGGACGGGGTGGGAGGATCTGGTGCGGAAGTGCATCTATGCCTTCTTCCAGCCGCAGGGCCGGGAGCCATCCTACGCCAAACAGCTCTTTCAAGAAGGTAATGGGCTCCTCTTCCCACCTGGAATGTTTACCCAGGGCAGGACGGATTTAGGTTTACCCACTGCAGGACAGGGGTTTGGAGCTGGAGAAGCAGCCAGGAAGGATCTTTGTGGTTTTTCATAGACAGAGTGTGGGCAGCAGGTCGAGGGAGGTGATTCTCCCCCTCTGCTCTGCTCTGGTGAGACACACCTGGAGTGCTGCACACAGTTCTGGTGTCCTCAGCATCAGAAGGACATGGAGCTGTTGGAGCAAGTCCAGGGAAGGCCACCAAGCTGATCAGAGCACTGGAGCACCTTCCCTGTAAGAGAGTTGGGGCTGTTCATCCTGGAGAAGAGAAGGTTGTGTGGAGACCTCGTAGCACCTTCCAGGACCTGAAGGGGCTGTAGGGAAGCTGGAGAGGGACTCTTGGTTAGGAACTGTAGTGATAGGACAAGGAGCAATGGGAATAAATTGAAAGAGGAGAAATTCAGATTAGACACTAGGAAGAAATTCTTCCCAGTGAGAGTGGTGAGGCACTGGCACAGGTTGCCCAGGGAGGCTGTGGCTGCTCCAATCCTGTTTGTGTTCGTTCCAGGTTGGATGAAGCCTTGATCACCCTGATGTGGTGGGAGGGGTCCCTGCCCAGAGCAGGGGATTGGAACTAGGTGATCTGTAAGGTCCATTCCAGCCCCTTAACATACTGTCACACCCCCATTTTCCACACCTGTGGGATCAGCCAGCACACACCACATGGGTTTGACGCTGGGAGGTGATTGTCCCAGACAGGTTCTCCCTCTCTACTGATGCTGTTGGGTGGTTGTGGTTTGAGTCTCCCAGGGTTTTGATGTGGTTCTGGTTGTGTCCCTCAGTGATGACCCGTGGCACAGCCTTCAGCCCCTCGTACCGCTTCACCCTGAGCGATGGGACCGTGCTCAGTGCCCACACCAAGTGTAAGCTCTGCTACCCCTCCAGCCCGGAGATGCAGCCCTTCATCATGGGCATCCACGTCATCGACAGGTACGTCCCCACCACCTGCCTGGGCAGTCCAGGGGGCAAAGGCCCCGTTCCCCACAGCAGGAGGAGGATCCACTGGTGGTCTGTGGTGCTGGTTTGGAGATGGGATCCCTGTGAGGAACATGAGGCCCAAACCAGCCTCTTGGAAGCTCCTCTTGCTCCTGGTTATTCCTGTTCTGCAAAGATGTGGCCCCTCTAGGAGTTTGGGTGGAGATTTATAGACATGTTTCACATTCTGCCTTGCCCTGGGGAATATTTGAGGAGGGAGAGGCTCTGCCAAACTGGCGGGACAGGGAGAGGTGAGGCTGTGGAGCTGGGCCGTGCTGGGGAGGCACAAGGGTCTGGGGCGGAGGGGACTGCTCCTCCTCCTGCCGTGTGGGAATGTCAGAGCCTGTGGGGTTTAGGCTTCAATCCTGAGCAGCATCACGTTTCTGGGGAGATCCTAAAGCTGCTGCACCCCATCCCTGATGCTGGGATGGATCCAGGCAAGGCTGAGCCCACCAGAGCTCTCCAAGCTTCAGAGCTCTGCGGTACGGACGGGGCAGGAGCAAAGCCTCCTGTGACTTCTCTGCTTTTCCCCCCCCGCAGGGATCACGGCATGCTCTCCCCCCAGGAGAACACGAACTCCTCCATGCCCC